TTTTCATTAATTAACCTAAATAAATTCAAGGTGTTGAGTATCTGTTATGTTTGTGTGTAAAGTCCTGGTGAGAAAAGGTGGCCATCTCGTAGTAGTAGCCTAAGAGTCACACGAGTTTTAAGTGCTGCCTCTTCTGTTTATCACTTAGTGGTCTCAGGCAAGTTCCTTGATTTTTCTGAGTATTATTTTTATAGTTTTCAGTGTATTTAAACATAGTAAAACAGGTTGATATTATTCCTTTGCCAGTGAGAGTGGCCTGCTTTCCTACTGTTAATGGGTAGCATAATGTGAGGAGAAGATTAAGAGAGTGGGTTTTAGTATTAGAAAGGCTTAATTTTGGGTACTGTCCTAGGGCCTTGACTGTATTCCATGTATTTTTTGAAGATCATGGTATAATAACCATACTCATTTCAGAGGACTGGTGTAGAGGTTAAACGAGGCTAGGAGATTCCTTACTGCTTTGTCGCTCCTGCCTGGCATATACTATAATTGTCACTTATTTGTTGAGTGAAGGAATGGCTGGCATAGTAGAAATTCATGGGTTCTTCCTTTCCTACTGATTGTTGGTCTGGCTTTTGTACCTGGAACTAATTGAACTTGAACCTCAGTTTGTGTTTGAGGTAGTTTTGGTTAGTTAAAGGGAGGTAACTGGTAATTTTTTGGGTGTTATTGAGCTCCTCATAGCATAGTGTGTTTACTTCTCCCTTATTAAAACATGTTTTATTTGGTGTAGCACTAAGATAAATGAACCATATATACCTATTCAAAGTAGTATAAGACCATAATTTTCTAATTTACAAACCTGACATGATCTTAAGATTTCTAAAAACTGGCTTTTATTATAATTATCTATATGCAGTGAATTATTATTATGGTGGACAGCATTTAAAAGTCATTGAATTCTGTTGTTTTTATTTTTTTTGCCTTGTTGAGACAGGGTCTCACTATGCAGTTCAAGCTGGCCTTGAGCTCACTTTGTAGCCTAGGCTGGCCTCAAACTCGCAGCGATCCTCCTGCCTGGGCCTCCCAGGTGCTGGGATTACAGGCGTGTGCCACCGTGCCCGGCTGAATCCTGTTTTATGCAACTCCTTGGAAGTCCAAAATTTCCCTCTTTGATGGCAGGAATGTTATATTATAATAACACACATATAAATGTAAGGATCTGATGTCTCCCATTGAATTATGTATTTCTTAAGTGCAAGGTCTATTTTGTTCCGCGTTTACCTGTTACTAAAGTTTGTCCTCAGCCAATGATAATCTAGCTCTGTTGTCTTACTGGGAGACAGGGTGTTTGGTCTTCATCTGGGCCTCCTTTAGAGATTTTTATTTTTATTTTTGCCCGAACTCAAGCTCTGGTTAAGATATTACTTTGTTATATATTTAAGAAACCAGTGTTATGTTACAATTTTAATAATCAGTAAGTATGATTTAATAATCATACATTTTGTTGCATTTTTGAAAGTTTGTCATTGTGTACAAAGATAAGACTATTATGTTTTCTAATGGCATCTGGTCCTTTTAATAGTTGAAAATTATTCAACTCTTAAAGGTATACTATGCATTATATTTTTTATGGGTACTGGGATTTGAACTCAGGACCTCACACTTGCCAGCCAGGTACTGTGCCACTCACCTATATCCCCGGCCCCTAAAGGTATACTGTGTACAAAGCATTCTATGTAAAGCTTTTAAGAAGTGTATTTTGCTTAGGACAAGGCTTTGTTAACACTGTAAGTTTTGTAAAGGCATGTCAAACTCAGAATTCTATGACACCTGTACTAGTAGACTAATTTTTAAATAATAAAAATCATATTTAGAGGGACAGTCAAGGTTTTTCAGTTAGATTCTGTTGGTGAATATGATTAATATTATTTTTCTTTTTCATCTTTTTAAGATATTTTTTAATAACAAGTGACATGACTCTCTTGGTATATCAGGCCTTATGGTCCATCTTTTTTACTTCTTTGAAACAGATTTATTTGAAGATGTCTATGGGTCTTCAATGAAGGGAAGAGAACTTGAAGATCAGAAGGATAATATAGAATTCAGAGGTCATAAGCCACTTAACAGCATCACTGTTTCGAAAAAACGCAACTGGCTGTATCAGAGTAGTCTAAGATCTCTTAATCTGGAAGAAGAAAATAAAAAATACCAAAATAGAAGGAATTTATCCGTCTCACCTGTGACTCCACCTTACCATCAGCTATCACAACCTTTCCTTAAATCATCTGAAGAATATTGTACCTATATGGTTTGTAATGCTACAAACTCTTCATTATCAAGAAACTATTCTTTACACTTTAATGAAGAAAATGATGCTGATGATGAAGGAGAAATATGGTACAACCCTATTCCTGAGGATGATGACCTTGGCATGTCAACTACTTTGAATTTTGGAGAGACAAACCCTGCTGTCTTAAAGCTTCCAGCTGGCAGTTTGAGCATACTCTCTGGTAGTGACCTAATGAAAGCAGAGCAGCATACTGATTTGTCGTGCTCTTCTGAACACATGGGTGATATTCAGACCATGCAGTTAAATGAAATGAATCCTATAAATTCCATCCATTCCACAGAATTTATGCCACAGCACATGCAAAAGCTAGGAAACAAGACTCAAGAAGATATGATGGTGGAGGACAGTCCCATATTAAAATCTCCTTTTGCAGGTAAAGATTGTAGATTTACCTTTTCTTTCTTCCTTTTCAATTCTTTGATAATTGCTAAAGCTAAATATAAATGTCTATTATATTTATATATTTTATTGTCTATTATTTTTATATACTTTATAAAGTGAACAGATTTTTACACAGAAAGAAAACTCAAGCTTATAAATTTTTTATATACATGGTAGTTTATTATTATCATAGACTTGTGGGGTTTTTTGATTTTTGTATTTTATGGTCTTTTGTTTTTTTTTTTTTTTGGTACCAGGAATCGAACTCAGGACCTTGTGCTTGCCAGGCAGGCACTTATGTCACTGAGCTATATCCCCAGCCTTTTTGGTCTTTTGAGGGTCTTGCTATTTAGTTCATACTGGCCTTGAACTCACTTTGTAGCCCAGGCTGGCCTTAAATTCTCAGTGATCCTCCTGCCTCAGCCTCCTGAGTGCTGGGATTACAGGCGTATGCCACACCCAGTGTAACCTTGGTTTTGTAATATGGTTTTTAGTGTGTTAATCCTTTGAGACAGTAATTGATTTTCTCCTGGTTGAAAGTGTAATCATAGAGTAGAAAAAAATGTATATGTATATGTAAATCTTATTTTGCTTCTTTCCTTCCTTCATTCACTTGTAGTCGGCCTGGACAAAGATGAAAAGTTGACTTTCAGTATACCAGTAATTATTAGTTTGTATTTTTGTGTCTGAGTTACTCTGTAAGCAAAGGAAGGGAAGAATAGAAAAAGAAAAGAGAAGTAGAAGTAAAAACCTTGTTAATAATAGCTGCTCTAGTAGTTAGGGAACCTAAATATGAAAAAAAAATATATATATATACACGCACACACACACACACACACACACACACACATACTTAGAAATGTGTGTCCAAAAGATGAAGGAGCAGGGGTAGTTGTACACTAGCTCCTGTTATCTGGTTGAACCAGATAAATGTGCTGATATTCAGCATCTTTTGATCTGTTTAAAAAATGCATTTCATGTTATTTAACCGGATGGTTTTTGTTCTTCTTTGATTGTCTTCAGTTATCTGCTGTGCTCTTATCGGTCCCAGTTACTCTCCCCAGGTAGCAGTGCATGAGGCTCTTTTGGTTGTAAATGTCAAATGTAGACTAGAACTTAGTTGTGTTTTATAATAAGTCATTTTAACTTATAGCACCTTAAGTGATGCAGAATATTCAGAGATAGGGAGTGTAGCAGATGCTGGCAGTGATTTACTCTATATTTCTTAGATTTTGTTACTTTCCATTTAAAGTGGGGGAAGCATGATTCTGCCCACTAGCATCTCTGCCTGAGGACTTCCTCTGAAGTCAGGGACTCTTTCTGCTGTGCAGCCTGTTGCTGACAGGAGCTAGTGTACAACTACCCCTGCTCCCTCACCTTTTGGGCACACATTTCTAAGTATTCTACATTGTTCCCGCAGACTTTTTCTTATGAAGTTAAGCTGCAATTGCCCATAGTGGTAGCAGTCTGGATATTCACCATGAATTTTCCCCTGAGTTTTCTCACTTGTTGGTGTTTCTGTACTCTGCAAATAAACTGTTTTCATTTGTGCATCTTTCTTAGGGACATGGGGAGGTAGACTAAGTGTTAGATTAAGACAAAAAGTGAATTACAAAACTGTGTACCGTATGGTGGCAATTTTGAAAGAAACACTGACCGCTGTACTGGAAATGGTGTTGGTGCTTTGTTTTCTGGGTGTTGGGTTGAAGGAAGTTAAAACCTTTTTTTCTTTCAGCATTTCTAATTGCAGACTAATTTTCTAGAGTGAATATGTGTTTCTTTTGTAATGTGGATTGGAAGAGAAATAAATACTACATGCAATCGTAATTTAGAGTTTGGGTTATGATTAGAAAAGATTCCAGAGTACACAATGGAGCAGAGAAGCCAAGAGGGCATAAGGGTAGGAACACAATGAGAAAGCCAGCACCTACACAGTAACACTGAGTTTATTGTCATTAAACTTACTATGTTATGTTTATGACAAATTGTAAACTTAGAAGGACTAACAAGCATTTTTAAAAAAAATTTGCACTTTATTTTTTTATTAGAACATGTTTGCACTATACAGTGATTACAGTTATTGTGGGAAGTTGGTATAGTTGCATAATACAGCTTAACACATCTTTTTCCTCTCTTGTTTTTCAACCCTTAACCTTTTCCCTCCCTCCTTGCTCTTTGCAGCTGTTGGTCTCCTTCCCATTTGCAAAAGCCCTGTTGTTATATTTTTCTCCTTTCCCTTTCTCCCCTGTTTCTTTATCTCTTGTGTCCCCATTCATTTGAAAAAATTCTCCCTAGTTCCTCTTTATCTATCTTCTGTTTTTCTCTTTATGTATATATTTTTGAGTTTCTCATGTAATAGAAACCATGAGATAGTTACATTTGTGTATTTGACTTATTTCACTCAACATGTGATCTTAAGTTTGATCCATTTACCTATGAATGCTTCCAGGTTATCTTTCTTAGTGACAGAGTAGTACTCCATTGTATATAAACACCACAATTTCTTTATCTACTCATCTGTTGATGGGCATAGGCATATAGGTCATTTCTAAGATTTAGCTATTATAAATTATACTGCTGTAATGTGGGTATGCATGTATCACTGTCATATGATTTCTTTAATTCTTTCAGGAAGATACCTAGAAGGGGAATAGCTGAGTCAAATGGAATTTCTGTACTAGTTTTTTGAGGAATCTGTACACTGGTTTCCGTAGTGGTTGTACTAGTTTACCTTCCCTCCAACAAATATTTAAAAAATGTTGTAAAGTATGGAATGACTGATATTTATATTTCATTTTTTACTGTCATTCTTTCAGTAATTCAAATCCAGCAAGTGCAATCCTAAAGTGACCAAAGGAAATATTTAGGCAGTTTATTTATATGCCATTGTCTTGTTACTTTTCTTGTTGCTGAGACTCAGAGGAGGAAAAGTTTATTTCAGCTCACAGTTAGAGTGACTATGCAGTCCATAGTCAGCTGTCTGTAAGGCAGGGTGGCATGGCAGAGGCAGATTACAGAGGAGTAGTACAGGCAGAAGGCAGAGAAGCAGCAAGCAGCCAGCTGCAAGCCTGCCTTCTTTCTATCCCTTTATATTCTGTCCAGGCTACAAACCTATTGATTGGTGCCATCCACACCCAGGGTGGGACTTCCATTATCCACACCCATAATTCCAGTATCACACCCTTATTCCACATTCACGCACTTTAAAATCCAGCCACCTCTGAAAAGCTCCACCTGTGAGCGCATGAGGGTTTGGGAGGACATCTAGATACAATAGATATGAACTGTAACAGCCATTTTTGTTTTCTTTTTTTTTTTTCTAAGTGTGGTAGAAATGTTACCTAAAGTGATTTATTTTCCTTAGCAATATTGACAGAGATAGTGGTTCAATTTCAAAATAATTTTTTGATTAGAGAATAGGAAAGCTAATGTACAAGTATCTTTAGTATGAATGACAAATTTTAAAAATCCTCAGTTTTAGCTAGTTGCAATCAGATTAAGCTTTTATTTTGCTCATTTTTCTTGGTATATTCATCTTGCGGTGTTACATGTAAACGAATATTATTAGTGGGTTTTTCTTCGTTAATTGTGTTTTGTTTTTATTTTTATTTCTTTCTGAGACAGACGCGCGCTAGCCATGCAAGACAGACCGGCAGCGAACTCACTAGCCAACCAACCCCGGGAACGAACAACAAACATCCCGCCTCACCCACCCGACTGAGCGCTGGACAGACAGGCACCAACAACCACGCCCTGCCGTTTGTTTGTTTGAGACAGGGCCTCCTATGTAGTTTATTTAGGCTGGCCTTAAACTCAATCTGTAGCTCAGGCTGGCCCGGAATTTGTGGTGATCCTCTTGCCTCAGCCTCTTGAGTGCTAACATTATTGTTTTTTAAACTTTATTGAGTTTCATATAAAATGTTAAATATATATTTGAATGTTATATTTCACATAAAATGTTAAATATATATTTGACTATTTTCCTGGTATTAGGTGTTGATAGATTGTTTCCACTGTGATTGCAATGATCTTTGAAATCTTTTTTTGCTTCATTAGGATCACTTGCTATTATCATTACTGGAGCTTTATGGCTGGTAACTACTATTGATAATTCTTACATTGGAGTTTCTAAAAAGTTTACTAATTTGCAGGGTTGCTAATGGTTGGTTGAGTCCTTTATTTATTCAATAAATGTTGAGCATCCATTACTATTCTGGGTGCTAAAGTAATATGCTGGTTTTCACTTGACTCTACCCTGGCACTTAAATTTATATTTAAGGATTTTCATTCTGTACTTACTATTATATCCTGTGATTTGATTAGTATGTTGTTTGATTTTAAGTGATTGTGGAATTTGGTTCTGTTTCAGCTTTTGGGTTTTATAAAAACTAAGCATTTTGTTTTAATAAACTAGCAATAGAAATGCTAGTTAACATGTACTATATTTTATTTTATTATTATTTTTTTTTTTGGTTTTTCTCCGGTACTGGGAACCGATCTCACGACCTTGCGCTTGCCAGGCAGGCACTTTTGCCGCTGAGCTAAATCCCCAGCCCCCTATATTTGATTTTAACAATTAAAAGAGTTTAAGAGGAATTATTTAGCTAATGTGTAAAAAAGAGTCAGAATTTAAAATTACTTAATAACTTAGTAAAATCTAGTAAAATCTAGTTTCATATACGGGGTTGCTTTTCTAGGCTCTGACAAAATAGATTAATATTTGTAGGCTAAAACAAGCCCATGATTACTGTAGACTGTTTTAGACTAGTACGCCTGTCGAATTGTACTGCGATTTGCAGTACAAGGGGATGCCTTGTGTAGTGTATAAACACTGCATTTCTTACTAGCTATTACTAGAGAAGCCCAGTAGGCATGCTTGAAATAGTCTTCTCTTTATGAAGAAACTTACTTCTTTGTGATTAGGACACACAGAACAGGGAGGAGATAGAATATTAATATTTTAAAGAAAGACCACTTTGTCTATTGATTTTTAAAATGAATAAACACTTTTGCTCATTTTGATTGTGAATTGTAGTTTTACATAGACTAGCTTCTGATAATAAGGTTATTAGATGTTTGCGTAGAAGGGATAGTCAAAGTATAAAAAATATACATTATAAATAATTGGGAAATTAAATTGTTTATAAAGGAAAAGTTTAAATTTTATAATATTAGGTTTCAGAAAATATTTTTACTTTGCTTTATTAGGAACAGTACAAATATAAAAATGAAATTGGTTTCTCTCCCCTGCTTTTTTAGTGTGAATGTGTAAGTTTAAATGGAATATTTTAACTTCTAATAATAGTTGAAAAAAGTCTTTAAAATCAAGTTAATGTCTATAGCTGGGAATAAAGTGTTTAGGAGGATGGAGAGGCTAAAAGTGTAGCATTGGAGATCATCCATTCTGAAAGCCAGTGCATAGGTCTGAATCCTGGTTCTGCTACTTTCTAACCCTATAATCCTGGACAAATTTGACAACGGTGTGCCTGAGGCTTCTCATCTGGAAATGGGGTGCTGATATTACTTACCTCTTGTGTTTGCTATGAGAACTAAATGAGGGTCTGTGCATACTAAGTGGTCAATAAATGTTGGCTATGTTATTATTTAATCATAATAAAATATTTTTACTAATATTAAACTAGTTTTAATATTATTTTCACCAAAATACTTATAGTTAGATTTATGACATTCAAAATTCAATTATTCCTCACTGACTAGCGTTCACTTGGTCTTTGGCGATATATTCTACAAGAATTTCAGAGCAAGGAAGGGCTCTTGGTTGCCAAAATTATAAGCTTGTTTGGTTTTTAACTTTTTTTTAAGCCAGCACTGCTATGTGGTAGCACTTAGCTTTAGAGGACCAAGTGAAAAAGTGTTCTTACCTTAGAGTAGCATTTCCAGTTAAAATAAACATATTAAAATAGAAAGCCTTCTTAGTTTCATCAGCTGTCCACTATTCAAAATTACTCAGTAGACTATATTGCAGTAGGAAATGTCAGAGTGTCCGCATTACCCTTTCTCCCAGTCGTCAGAATAGGAGATGGAGAGAAAGATGCTTCTTTCTACCGTAAGCCATTTGGAGATCCTTGATAGATTTTCTACTTGAACATGGAGAAAGAGATCTGAGAGCTATCTCCCCACTGAGGTGAAACAAGGGAAGAATTGGTCCAGGTGATACCTGTTTAGTTGACATTTATAAAGTAAGACTAAAAGTAGAAATAAAAAGTATTACTTCATAATCTTTATTTCTTTCTTCTTAAGGTCCTGACATCTTAGCTGCTGCAAATAGGACTGAACTGGGAATTATGGAACCATCTTCACCAAACCCCAGCCCTGTGAAAAAAGGCAGTTCAATTAATTGGTCTTTACCAGATAAAATAAAATCTCCACGAACTGTGAGGAAACTTTCCATGAAAATGAAAAAGTTGCCAGAATTTAGTCGAAAGCGAAGTGTCAAGGGAACCTGGAATAATATAAACAGTCCAGATAGTACTCCTTCCTTTTCTAAGTGTAACTGTAGAGAAGTTCATCATACTGTTATTCTCCCTTCTGGGAATACTACCACAGCTGCTAAGAGGAATGTGATAAGCCGGTACCATCTTGATACTACTGTATCTTCACAGCACAGCTACCAGAAGAAAACCTCTGTGAATTCAAAGTATTCCTGCAAAGGTGGTTATCTCAGTGATGGAGACTCACCTGAACTTATAACTAAATCTAGCAAACATGGACCTGAAAACAAATTAGGAAAAGGAAAAGAAATCATTCCAAGTAGTTGTAGCAAAAATGAAATAGACATAGATGCTTTTAGACATTATAGCTTTTCTGATCAACCTAAGTGTTCACAGCACATATCTGGGCTCATGAGTGTGCATTTCTATGGGGCTGAGGATTTAAAACCCCCTCGGATAGATTCAAAAGATATCTTTTGTGCGATTCAAGTAGATTCAGTAAACAAAGCAAGAACAGCTTTGCTCACATGTCGGACAACATTTTTAGACATGGATCACACTTTCAACATAGAAATTGAAAATGCACAACATTTGAAATTAGTAGTATTCAGTTGGGAGCCCACTCCAAGAAAAAATCGAGTGTGTTGTCATGGAACTGTTGTTCTCCCCACCTTATTCAGGGTGACAAAGACACATCAGTTGGCTGTCAAACTTGAACCTAGAGGTCTTATTTATGTGAAAGTGACTCTTATGGAACAGTGGGAAAATTCTCTTCATGGACTAGATAAAAATCGAGATTCAGTAATATTTGGTGTTGACATTCAAAAAGTTGTAGAAAGAGAAAATGTAGGATTGATGGTGCCACTTCTGATACAGAAATGTATTATGGAAATTGAAAACAGAGGCTGTCAGGTATTATTTCACTGTGTTTCTCTACTACCTTCCTTATTGATTAACTTATTGATTGTAAGTCTTGGGGAAGAAATGCAAGTAAGGCAAAAAAAATTTAATTTAGACATTTTCCCATTCCTACTCAGTTTTTTGGTATTACTATTTAGGTTACAATTGATAGGTATAACCTGCGTTGTCAGTGATTTGAGAGTGTGCTAGATGTTCCCCCAATTTGTGCTATAATACAGAGTTGGGTAGGTTTTATAGCTAGAGATTAAGATTGCCTTACAATGGCTCTCCTAGAAAAAGATAGGGCTAATAATACAGGCAAAGCCTAATTGTTTTAAGAAATATATCTGCATAATTTGCCCTTCTATAAGAAGTTCTACTGGTGAATCCCATATCCCTGCTTCATTTCTAAAATTAACTCCCTGCTCTTATTTTCTACTCTGTCTCAGTCCCTCTCTTTGGAAGTCAAAAACTTATCTCTTTCTTTGCTCTGGGATATCATGGAGGCTGAGGAGAGGTCCTACTAATAAGAACACCTCTCATTCCTTTTTAAGTAAGAAGGCAAAGGTAACCATTAAAAGAAACGGCTTGGTGTTATTGTAGCAAAGTATGTAAATGCTAGCTGTTAATACATGTGACAATGCGAAATAGCATATAACAGGGAATATTACTTAGATATAAAAAGTGTTTGCACACATTCTTCTGTCACGTAGTAAGCCTAAAAAATCTTACGTTTTTATTTTTTTGTTGTTGTTGCTTTTTTTTGTTTGGTTTTGTTTTTGTTTCTTCTTCCGGTACCAGGAATCGAACTTTTGACCTTGCACTTGCCAGGCAGGCACTGTGCCACTGAGCTAAATCCCCAGCCCCTCGCCTAAAAAATCCTTATGTGCAGAAATATTTTTGTTGTACTACTATCAGAGTTTTTACAGCATTGCCTATAAAAATAAAAGACAAAGATAAATACAAAAAATGTGAAATATAATTTCTTGATTTAAAAGATCAATATTAGAATATTAATGTCGAAACTATAGAAACAGCATAAGTTAGTAGAATTTTATATTAAAATATTAAAGACCTAGATTCTGGTTTTTCCTCTGTTATTACTTGGCTGTGTGGTGTTGGGCAACTCACTTAACTTAGTCTCTGTGGGTTTTACTTGCTTCTATGCATAAAAGATAGATGCTGTAGCTTCCTGAAGCTGAGAAGTAGGATATCTAAACTGCCAGCTCAGATACATGGTTCTATCTAGTTTGTTTTGTCTGTAGGAATGAGGCCTGTACTTTCTAATCCAACTTTCTTGACCAACTTTTCTTTCTTAAGAGTCTTCATTTTTTTCCTTTCTTCTTTTTTTAATTTGGCAGAGTGTAGAGTTCAGAGATTAGGCAGACCTTAAAGCTAATTATTAAACAGAAACTTTTACAGTTGGATATTAAAGTAAGCAACTTGAGTGGCTTTGTAGTTTTACAGTCTGTTTTCTGAAATATTTATGGAAAGTAGGTGTACAAAGATTGTTAATTACCTTTTCTGAGTGCCAAAAATTTTTTTAACAATGCTTTTTATTTCTCTAAAATTTAGAAAAGTGTATTTTAATAAAATTTTCTGTGAACTAAAAGCTCAGTGTTATATTGTACATTTGGAAATGTACTTTTTAAAAACCTTTTTATTTGTTTTGTCTCCCTTGCTGCTTCTTTCCCCACCTATGCAGACACACAGAAAGAGGCTTACTGTGTCTGCATTTTACAGTCTGCCATATTGCTTAAATTTTGTTAACCTTTTTATGAAGTAGATCTTTTTTTTAACTGTGGAAATCAAGTTTTGATAGTCATATAAAAATAACTTGTCACAAGGCAGGACTTTTGCATTTTCCAAATGCTTTCGATGCTATTACCACCCATTTTCTGCTTCCAGTGGGAAAAATTAACTTGAGCTCATATTCCTGGTCCATGTGGTACAGATTCTGCGCTGAGAGAGGTACCAAACATATACTTCATGTGTTTGGTAAAAGAAGTCAGCATCTAAACTTAGTTCAGGATCCTAAAATATCCTTTCCTTGAAATAGTTATATTTAATCTTCATTTTTTTAATTCATTCTTTCAAAAACTTAACCTTTTAGGGGGATGAAATATTTTATTAATTTACTGTCTTTTTAAGTGGTACCTTTTTACCTCATAGGATCATTTTCTTCAAGGAAATACATCTGTATTACTGGATTTTATGACATAAATATGCCTACACCAGCAGGGTCATAAACAAATTTGTTTCAATTGTGGAAGCATTTCCTTTGAGCTTGTTTAATATCTTGTCTTTGTTTTGTAGGGTAGCTACAGTTGTTTTGTTTTTTTGGAGAACGGGTCTTGCTCTGTAACCTAGGCTGGTTTTGAACTTACAGTGATCCTCCTGCCTCAGCTTCCCAAATGCTGGGATTAGAGGCTTGTGCCACCCTGCCCAGCCCCCATAGGACATCTACATTTTTACCATTTCTGTCTTGAGATGTGATCAGCCTAACACATGGCCATCTTCAATGTGCATGCATCAGCAAAGAGTAGGAAATCTGAATTTTCTTCTCAGTGTCTTCCTTGATTTTCCCATATTATGTCAATCCTTTTGAATGTGGCAGTGCTTTATTAGTACTTCTTAGGAATAGTTTGCTTTACTGTCTTCCAGTTGTCTTGGAGCTTATCACTTCAAATATTTTAAATAAAATTTCCATGTATCAATTGACCCTTTCTTTACTGAGACCCAACTTCTGTCTGTACTCTTTCTGTACTATAGAGACTCAGAAGACTTTAGATCATAAGTAAACTTGAAAATTTCATTTATGTACTCCTATTTCTATATTATTTATAACATTGTGATTCCTAATTCAGATTCTTGAGGATTCTTTATTTGTCTTAAAATAATTGCTTTCTCCATATCTTTGTTCAATCCAACCTGATTGAGCTTCCTAAATAGTCTTTGATGTAGGATAGCCACTTGTATTCCTTAATTTTCTTAATGTTCATTCTTTCAAATAACTGATAGTTTAATCACTGAATTTGTAGTGAACTTCCTAAAACTTAACACTTTAGAATCTATATGAACCAACTGGTTTTGGTTTTTATTTTCTTTTGTTTTTTTTCGGAGACATGGTCTTACTATGTAGTTTAATCTGGCTTTGAGCTCATTGTGTAGTGAAAGCTGGCTTCAAATTTGTGGCAGTCCTCCTGACTCAGCCTCCTAAGTGCTGGGATTACAGGCTTGTACCACCACACCTGGCTATTGAACTGTTTTAAACACAAATATTGCCATCAGAGGTTGTTGGAGAGATTAATGTCTGCGCAACTTAATGTCTGTGCAACAACTAAAACATAAGCCAGGGACTTTAGCTTACCTTAAATGTATTATTTTAATTAAATTTCTTCCATCACTTTATAATCAATTTGATATGTTAAGAGAAAACCCTAGGTGGGGGCTGGGGATTTAGCTCAGCGGCACAGCGCCTGCCTGGCAAGCATGAGGTCGTGAGTTTGATTCCTGGTACCGGAAAAAAACCAAAAAACAACAAAACAAAACAAAACAAAACATAAAAACCCCCTTGGTATATTTTTACTTTTTTTCCCCCCTATAAAAAGCTTTTCACAAATAGTATCCTGATGCCTTGTTTCAACTGTATACTTATTTATGGATAAAGAAACAATTTTAAAGAGATTAAAAATCTTGGCCAGATTCACCAAGTTAAGGGTGGCAGACTCCAAACCCCCTTTTAAACCACTGTATTATACAGGACAAAAGATGTAAAGGGCACATGGTCAGGATATGGATAAGAAGCTTAATTGGTTGGGTATACAAAACTAAAGAGAATGATTATATCATTTTCTGAAATAGGACTATAAAAATCATACTCTTTTAATGATAATGGGATGGTTTATTAAACTAATCAATATAATCTATAATGAGATTTCAGAAACTGAGGTATCATAATTAAATGCCATCAGAACATATTTGATTATCAAGTTCATTTATTGTACTATTATATCTTTACTTACCAAATTTACTGTAATGTGACCATAATTTTATTTCTAGGTGGTAGGCCTGTATCGATTATGTGGTTCAGCAGCAGTCAAGAAAGAACTTCGAGAGGCTTTTGAGAAGGATAGCAAAGCTGTTGGTCTTTGTGAAAACCATTATCCAGATATAAATGTAATAACAGGTAATAAGATTTTATTTCTTATGCTCATTGTGGAAAGACTACATGTGCAAGAAAAAGAATTCCAATACTATTTTTAGTCTAAATTTAATTTGATATTATTCTGAAGTCTTACTTTTTTCGGAAAAACTATGCACTGTTATTCTGTGCAGAGATATTAAATGTGATCCTGTCCTTAAATAGTCAACAACTCATGGGGAAAGTAAGACCTACATTAAACTAGGTGTAGTAGCTAACAGACCTCTGTCTTGACAGAGGGATAAATGAAATGCCTTGGGAGTTCAGTTTTTCTGGAGTTTAGGTGATGTAAAGATCATTGACTGTCTTGTTAGAGAATTTGGATTTATTTACTAGGCAGAAAGGATTCATTAAAGATTTTTGACTATGAGTGAAGTTATTAAAGATTGTCTTTAGGAATATTAATCTGGCAACTCTGTGTGATAGATTGAAATGAAAAGAGAAAGGAAAATAAAGAAGCCTTGGCAGTAGTCTTAGCAATAAGGTAATGAAAGCTAAAGGATGCTTGTTGCAGTAGAAACAGGAAAGAGTAAGATTGAAAGGATGTGTTACAGAGTGATTTGAAACCTTGTTGACTGGACATTGGTAGAAGAAATAGGAAAGCTGTGAGGGGAAATACTGGGAAAGATTATGCACTAGATTTTGGACATAGTATATTTAAAGTAGTGCTAATAGATGTAAATGGACATATTAACCAAACTTAATAGTGTTCCTTTGGTTGCCAAGAAAGGATGTAGTAGAAATTTGAGGGCCTTTTCTTTATGCAGATGGTAAATATAATCTAACATATAGCATTGAAAATAAGTTTCAGTACTGCTCTAGTCATACTAAATTTCATGGTTTATTATTTTCCGCACTTTCATACAAGTGTCCTCCGTATCCATGTTTCCACCCATCTGGCAAAACCAGTCTGCACTACAAGTCTTATTTAACAACTTTCTTGAGATATAATTAATAAAATGCATGTATTTAAGATGTACAGTTGTATGTTTTCATACATGTATGCCCCATGGAATGTAGTCACAATGAATGTATCATCTCCAAAAGATTCCTAAGGCTGGTTTGTAATCTTTTCTGCTTGTACCTGCAGTATACTTTATCCAAAGGCAACCACTTGATCTTTTTGTCACTGTAGGTTAGTTTTATTTTCTAGAATTTATACAGTGGAACCATATGGCAGGACCCATCCCCCCCAATCTGGCATCTTTCACTGGTAAAATTATTTTGAGATTGATCCACATTATTGCAAATGGCCAAGGTCCATTTCCTTATTTGTTTATTTATGGTACTGGGGAGTAAAACTAGGGCCTTCTTACAAAGCTACTTTTCCAGCCCTTAAAATTTTTTTCTTCCCTTTTGAGGTAAGTTCCAGGTTAATAAGTTACCCAGTCTGGGCTCGAACTTGGGGTTATCCTGCCTCACCTTCCCAGATTGCTGTACACCACCATGCCCAGCTATTTTTATTTAGTTTTGAAATGGTGAAATGCTGTATTGCCTGGACTGGCTTTGAAGCTCTAATCTTGCCTCAGCCTTCTGAGTACATGGAATTATAGACTTGCACCACTGGGCCCAATTTACTGCTGAATCGTGTCTCACTGAATGGCTCTACTGCCACTGGTGCATCCATTGATCTGTTGCCAGACATTCTCATTGTTTCCATTTTGGTACTATTGCAGGTAAAGTTGTTTTGAATATTCATGTACAAGTTATTGTAGGGACATATGCTTTTCTTTGGGGGAGGGTAAATATTTTTTTAGAACGAAATCGTACTGTCTTTATCATTACAGTTTAAAAATGTATTGGTACATATTTTATGGGTACATGTGTATAGTACATAATGATTACATTCATTGTGGGGAGTTGGTACATGTAGATGACATTTCTTAATTGTTTTTTACATGTTTGTAATACATGATGAGACTTGAAGTCGGGTACTTTGAGTCTCCTACTTTTCTTTTTCAAAATGGTTTTGACTTTTCTAGGTCCTTCCATTCCACCTAAGTTCACTTTGTTAGTTCAAAAAAAGCCTATGCTTAACCCAAGATCTTGAAGATTTATTCTGGTTTTTTTTTTTTTTTGTGAGAGTTTCATAGTTTTAGCACTTAATGTAAGTGTGTTATCCATTTGGAGTTAATTTGTGTATATTATGTAAAGAAAGGACTCCAACTTTATTAGTTTTTGCAAGTGGATGTCCACTTGTCCCACAGCATTTGTTAGAAGACTATTCCTTCTCCTCCTAAACTATCTTTAACCTTTTCAAGAATCAATTGACTGTGAATATGAGGGCTTATTTTTGAGCTCTCAGTAATAGCCCATTAGTGTTTATATCTGCCACACAGTTTACTGACGCTTTGTAGTAACTTTTGAAATTGAGAGGTGTTTGTCCTCCTATGTTCTTCTTTTTCAAGATGTTCAGGCTCTTCTTGGTTTTTGGAATTTCATGTAAAGTTTAGGATCAACTTGTAAATGTCCATGAAAAAGCTAGCTGGAGTTTTGATAGAATTTATGTTGACTATGTATAGTCAATATGGGAAGTATTGCCATATTTATAGTATTAAGTCTTCTAATCTACAAACATGGCATGTGGTTCCCATTTATTTATATCTCGTACTCTTTCAAAAATTATTTTATTTTCAAAGTAAAAATATGCATTTCTTTTTGTTTTTCTATTTATGTTCAATTCTTTCTGATGGTTTTATAAATGGAATTTAAAGAATTTCTTTGTTGGACCTTTCATTTTTAGTGTATAGCAATATGATTGATTTTTGTATATGATCTTTTACTGTACTGTAAACTCATTTATTCTAGTAGTTTTTCAATGGATTGCTTAGGATTTTCTACATACAAGATTATATCATCTGCAAACAAAGATAATTTTCTTTCCAGTGTGATTTTTTTTTTTTTTTTTTTTCCTATACTGGAGACTGAACCCAGGGTCTTCACACTGAGCTGCATCCCCAGCCTTACTCCCTTATTTGTTTGTTTTCTTTTTGAGGCAGGGTCTCTCTGTACTTCAGGCTAGCCTTGACCTCACTATGTAGCCCAGGCTGGCTTCAAACTCATGACAGATTTACCTTAGCTTTTCAAGTGCTGGGATTACAGGCATGTATCACCACACCCAGTGTTTATTTTTTTTTATTGTAATGCATTGTCTTGCTACATTGTCCAGATTGGGCTCAAACTTGTGATCCTTCTGCTTCTTTCTCTCAGAATGCTGGAATTACAAAGCAAGTGCCACCATTCCTGGTTCTTTTGAATCTGTATCTTTGTTATTTCTTTTTTCTTACTTAATTGCTCTGACTGGAACCTCCAATATAATGTTGAACAGAAGTATCAAGAATGGACATATTTCTCTTATTCTGATACTAGGAGCAAACATTCAGATGGCTAAGCATGATATTAATTGTTGATTTTTCATAAATCCCCTTTATCAAGTTGAGAAAGTTCTCTTCTATTCCAAATCTAGTTTTTTAAATCATGAATTGTATTAGATTTTTTAAAGTATCTTTTCTGAGTCTATTGCAAAGCGTATTTATGCTCTTAGTCTTTATTCTATTCCTATATTGCATTAATTGGTTTTCAGGTATGAACCAACATCTTTGGCATAAATTCCATTTGGTTGTGGTAATACTCCTTTTAAAAAATATTGCTAGATTCTATGTATTAGTATTTTGTTGAGTAAGTTATAGTAAGAGATACTTGTTTGTAGCTCTCTTGTGATACCTTTATCTAGTTTGGTATCATGTTAATACTGGTTTTATAGAATGAGTTGGAAAATGTTCTGTATTACTTTTGGAAAGAGTTTATGAAGAATTGGTATTAATTCTTTAAATAGTTGATAGTGTTCCCCAGTGAAGACATTGAGGCTTGGGTTTTCTTTCTGGAAGTTTTAAAATTACTAATTCAATCACTTATAAGTTTACTTAGGTTTTCTATTTTTATTTTTATTTTTTCTTTCTTTCTTTCTTTTTTTTTTTTTTTTTGGTACCAGGAATGGAACTCAGGACCTTGCACTCACCAGGCAGGTACTGTGCTGCTGAGCTATATCCCTGGCTCTGTTTTTCTTTGAACTATCAGCCATTTCTATTTTTCTCAAGTTCTTTCATCTTAGTTATCTGATTTATTAGATAGAATTGTTCATCATATTCTTCTTTTCCATCATATTCTTTTATAACTTTTTGTTTCTGTAAGGTTAGTAGTAATGTCTCTTTTATTTTAGTCATTGAGTCTCAGTCTGTCTCTCTGTCTTTCTCTCATCTTTTTCATTTTTCTTTTGGTTGATTTACCTAAAAGTTTGTTAATTTTGCTAATCTTTCAAAGAATCAGATTTTCTCTCTACCTCATTAATTTTCATTTTGATCTTTTTATTTTCCTTTTACTTGCTTATTTTGGGTATAACATGCTCCACTTTTTCTAGTTTCATGAGATAGTGAAGACCATTGTTTTGAAACTTTTCTTCTTTTCTAATATAGACATCTAACTACTATAGATTTTCCTCTAAATTTTACTACTCTACTTTAGCTGCTTCCCACAATTTTGTTTTTTAAGACAGGGTCTTGCTATGTAGTTCAGGCTGGCCTTAAATTCACTGCAATCCTCTTGCTTCAGCCTCCTGAGTACTGAGATTGCAGGTGTGCACCACTGTGCCTGATATGTTTTCTTTTTTTGAGCAATGGATTATTTAGACATATGTTAGTCTACTTCCTGGTATTTGGGGGATTCTCCAGATGTTTTCTGGTATTGGTTTTTCATTTAATTCCAATATAATCACAAAATATACTTCATAGGCTTAAATGCTTTGTAGTTTTGGCAGAATAAGGGTGGCTTTCAGTATCTCCTTTTGTCTATTTCTTTGATTTATTACTGAAGCAAAACTCTTGTATGTACTTGTATTAGTTTCTTATATTTTTCCTGTAGCTGAGAAATACTGCTCTCCACAGTATTTAGTTCTTATCTGACCTGATTATTATTGGATATCATTTGATACCATAGACTTTTTGGCTGTACTGGGGATTGAACCCAGGACCTTCACACTGAGCTACACCTTCAGTCCTTTGTAAAATTTTTGAGACAAGATCTTGCTGAGTAGCTATGTTTCCCAGGCTGGGCTTCCTCTTGCCTTAGCTTTTCCGAGTGCTGGAATTACACACCTGGCTCCATAGACTTTCTTGAAACATGTTTTCCTTGACTTTCCTTGGCAATATATTTACCATCTCCTGCCACCTCATCTGCTGCCTTTTCTTACCATACATTCTTTTGCCATCTTAGTTATCTTTGGAAGATTCTCTTCCCTGAAAAATTTGATATTCTACAGTGTTATTTTCTAGGCCTTTTGTTATCACTGTGTTTGCCTCCTTCATAAGCTCAGTCATTATAATTTTTAATCCATCATTCTCAGATCTATGTCTCTAATCATCTCTTTCCTGAGGCTCAGGTTTCCTTTTTTTTAAAATCCAGCAGCCTTAATCCTTATTATTTGTTTGTTACAAATGAAACTCTTCTCTCTACCTGCTAAAATATGGTTTTTTCCCACTGTTCTTTATTTTAAGTAATACCACTAGTATCTGTCTGCATGCTCAAGCCCAAACCTAAGAAAGATTCTTCTTTTTTTTTTTTTTAAGATAGGGTCTCGCTCTGTAGTCCAGGCTGGCCTTGAACTCACAGTGATCCTCCTGTCTCAGCCTCCTGAGTGCTGGGATTACAGGTGTGCATCACCACACTCAGCCTAAAAAAGATTTTTATTTTCCTTTTCCCTCAAAATTACAAGAGCATTTTTGATGTAGCCACCCGACTTTGGAAATTCATGCTACAGATGTACCTTACAAAGGGGTGATGTGCAAGGTTATTCATCACTGCATGTTTCAGAATAAAAAAAGGTTAAGCATTCAGTAATTCAAGTATCCATCTGTAGGAGGCGAAACAATTTGAATTGTGGGACACCCATCCATTGGAATACTATAATGTGGCTGTAAAATAACAGAGGACACTGTCTGTGTACTGAAAATGTCACAAGGATATGGTATTAAAAGAAAAAGCAAGGAACAGAACAGGACATGTATGCTTTTATGTAGTAAAGGGACAGAAATAATACATTTGCATAAACAAATAAGAGAAGCATGCCTAAGAAACTAATGAACCATGTTACTTTTATACTTAAAAATTATCAGATGAGAAACTTCCTATGTGATCCTGCTTCAGTTCCAACTAAGCATTTAGATTAAGTTCTCAGCAAAGCATTGAGTGTGGTCTGAATCAGTATTGTATGTATTTAGGCTTGTGGAGGCAGAATACCCCCATTTTTCCTTATGATCACATTTCAGCATTTAGCCATTACCTGCCTTGCTTATACACTGTACCTCAGCTCGCGAACTTAATTCTTTCTGCAATTCTGGTCTCAAACCAAATTGGTCATAAACTGAATCAAATTTTCCCATAAGGTCACCATTGAACCTAATCATTGACTTTGATTTGGTTTGTGACCAGTTTGGTTTGTGACCAGAATTGTGGAAAGCATTATATTTGTGAATTGCGGTACCACTGTATGTAATAACTACCATTTACTATTTTCCCTACAACTGGTAGTATCTCTTAGTTCAAAATCGTCTGTGGTGTGTTTGGAATTGGCTTACATCAATTGTGATGTCTGATGTTTTTGTTCTTGGTTTTGGTTTCATTTGTTTGGTTTTAGGAATGATTTGTTTTTCTTTCATAGGATAGTATACCATTACAGATTATCTAACTGTATAGTACATATGTTTAAGACATTAAGAGATGAAATATATTTATATACCTCATTTATTTGCAAGGGCTTTGGGCCCCTGTGCTTTTTCATTATTAATTAAAGGCCCAGTAACTCAAAATTTCTGTGATTTTTTTTTTTTTTTATTTTGGTACCAAGAATAGAACTCAGGACCTTGCTCTTGCCAGGCAGGCACTTGTGCCACTGAGCTGTATCCCTGGCGCAAAATTTCTATAATTGAAATAATTTACAACTAACACTATTATGCCTCATGTTTCTTTGTTTTTTGAGTCAATGATCTTACTGTGTAGCCTAGGGTAGCCTTGAATTTGAAATCCTGCTACCTTAGCCTCCAGAGTACTTGCAATATAGGTATATGCTACCACACCCAATTTAGTAGGTCTTGCTTTCTTCTGTTTTACATATATATAGAGGAACTTTTTGTTGGAGGGCAGAATCAATAGGACGGATGTAACAGAAATAACTTATTATTGTGTTGGTACTGAAATTTGAACATAGAGCCTTTGTAATGAGCTATATTAGTACTTTTTTAAATTAAAAGAAATTTTTTTTTGAGATGGCTTCTTGCTGAGTCTCTAAGTTGCCATAGCAGGACTGAAACTCACAATCCTTCTGCCTCAGACTGCTAGGGTGCCAACATTACAGGAGTGCTCCACCATGCTTGGCAAAAATAGCATACTTAGGATTAACCTATTATGTATGGTAACTGGAAATTATGTGTGTGTGCACTTTTAGGTTGCTTTCAATTACCAAGATGATTTAAAAAATGCAAAATGCTAGTGTTTTGGTGTTATACTTTTTATATCTTGCTGCTTTTATTGTTTTCAGACTATTAAAAGTTGGCTATAATAATACATTTAAAAATTCACCCTGTTCTTTATTTGTCTCTGAAAATGAATTACTGTCTCTGATTTTGTTGCCCCCCCACCCCCCGCCAAAGGTGTTCTTAAGGATTATTTAAGAGAGCTTCCTTCTCCTCTGATAACAAAGCAGCTTTATGATGCTGTACTAGATGCAATGGTGAAAAGTCCTTTGAAAATGTCATCAAATGGATGTGAGAATGATCCAAGTGATTCTAAGTACACTGTGGACCTGTTGAATTGTCTGCCAGATGTTGAGAAGGTAAGTGTACTTGGCGTACATTTTTCCTAAAAGCTAGTTAATGAATTATATGTTAGCTCTGGGGCTACAAATAGTTTAGTTTTTTGACATTTGTGGCACTCAGGAGTTTAAACTCTGCTTTTACTGCTTTTTAGCCAGTATGCATCTAGAAATCAGTTTTATTTTTTCTATCTCTGACTTTAGCCTAGGCATGAATATATCATTGAGAATAATTTATTCAAGGATCTTAGCCGTAAAAATAATCAGTAGGTGAGATAATAAATATATTAACTGGCTTGATTTAGCCATTTCACAATGTCTTGTGTTTCATCTTCCTGCTGCTTTTTTTCCCAATCCCCTTTCCTCCCTTCAATCCCTTTTCCCCTCCTTATTTACAAAAGCTTTGTTTCTATTTTTGCCTTGTATTCTTTTTTTGTCCCTTTTTTTCCTTTCCCCCTCAGTTCTGCCTTCCTCCTCTTCTCATCTGAACATTTTCTTCCCATTTTCCAATACCTACTATATATTTTAATCCTTATTTATACTTGTAGTTTCTCACTCCAGAGAAACAATGAAATATTTAAATATGTCTACAATTTATTTCACTTAAGAGTGTGGTCTCAGGGTGCATCCATTTGCCTAGAAATGTTTCAAGCTTACCCATCTTTATGGCAGAGTAGTATTCCACTGCATAAAAAAAAAAACCCCAATCTTCTATCCATTTATCAATTGCTGGAATTTGGGCTGTTTCCAAGATTTAGCTATTACAAACTGTGCCACTATAAACATGAGTATATATATATTACTGTGGTATGATGCTTTTAATTCCTTCAGGAAGATACCAGGAAGGGGAACGGAATCCCTAGTTTTAGTTTTTTGAGGAATCCCCACACTGATTTCCACAGTCTATATTCTCACCAACAGTAGAGAGGGGTTCCTTTTTCCGCACAGCCGTGCTATCATTTGTCATTGGTTGATTTGTTGATAATAGCATCCCTTTTGGAGTTAGATGGAATCTCAGCATTCTTTTAATTTGCATTTCTTGAATGACCAATGATGTTAAACATCTTTTCATATATTTATTTGCTGTTTATACTTCTTCATTTGAGAAGTACCTGTTCATTTCATATGCCCATTTTTGGATTGGATCTTTAAATTTGGGTGGAGTCTGTTTTTTTTTGAATTCTACTTTTTGAGGAACAGCTGGCAAAAACTTTTTCTACTCTGTGGGTTGTCTCTTGATGGTTTCTCTTGCTGTGCAAAAACTTTTTAATAAGAAGAGATCCCAATTGATTCTTTATGATACTTCCTGTGCAATTGGTGTTTTGCTCATAACATATTTGGCTATAACAGTGTCTTCAAGAGTTCTACTTGTTCTGTCTTCTAGCAGATTTAGTGTTTTTGTTTTAATATTAAGATCATTGATCCATTTAGATTTTAGTTTAGTGCATGGTGAAAGATATGTGTCTAGTTTTAATCTTCAGCATGTGGAAAGCCAGTTTTTCTAGCACCATTTATAAAAGAGGCTATCTTTCCTGCAGTAAAGGTGTTTGGCTCTTCTGTCAAAGATAAGGTGGCTGAGTATGTCTGGAGTTGTTTCTGCATCTTCTAATCTGTTCCATTGATCCTCAGGTCTGTTTTTTTTTCTCCCAGTACCATGCTGTTCTTACCACAGTAGCTTTTTGTTTTTGTCTTTTTTTTTTTTTTCTTTTTGAGACAAGGTCTCACTATGCAGTTCAGGTGTCTTGAGCTCACTTTGTATCCCAGGCTGGCCTGCAACTTGCAGTGATCCTCCTGCCTCAGCCTCCTGAGTGCTGGGATTCAGACGTGTGCCACCACACCCAGCTACTATAGTAGCTTTGTAGTATAATTTCAAGTCAGGAATTGTGATGCCTTCTTGTCTTTGTTGTCCAGAATTGCCCTTGCTATTCTGGGTCTCTTCTGGTTCTAAAGGAATTTTGGGATTTTTTTTTCTATAATTCTATGAGACATGCTATTGGTATTTTGATCAGGATTGCATTAAATCTATATAACAATTTTGGAAGTATGACTATTTTCACTAAATTGGTTATTTCTACCCAAGAACAATGGATATCTTTCCACTTTTTTATATCCTCTATGATCTTTTTCAGAGGCCTATAACTTTCAATGTAAAGGTCTTTTACTTTCCTTATTAGATTGATTCCTAGGTATTTCATTTTGGGGGGGATGCTATTGTGAAAAGTGTTGTTTCCCTAATTTCTCTCTCAGTGAGTTTGTTATTTGTGTACTGGAAGGCTATTGAGTTTTGAGTGTTGACTTTGCAACGATGCTACTAAATTTTTGGCTATTAAATACAGAATTCTTTTGGTGGAGTTTTTGGGATCCTCTATGTAGAGTATCATGTCATCCACCAATAATGATAATTTAACTTGTTCCTTTCCCAGCCTTATTCCCTTTATTTCTTTCTCCTGTGTAATTGCTCTGATGTTTCCAGAAGTACCTTGAATAAGAGTAGTGACAGGACATCTCTGTCTTATTCCTGAT